ATAACATGATAGCGTTACTTACTGATGCGTCAACATGGCAGCTTTCGGATTGCCAGTACTACCGCTCGTGAACTGCAGATTCGCGACATCGTACGGACTTATCATGCAGTCAAGGATGTTCAAAATATGATCGGGTATGCTCTGCGCTTCCTGTATGAACTCCTCATATCCAATGAATCCATCGTTCCCGCGTACAAGACACACAGCCTTCAAGTCTGGCAAGGATAAGTGTAGGTCCTCTTCGTGTAGTCTTTCGAGGAGCGGTCCATTATCGAAACGCGCTATCATGGGCGACGTGAAAAGCATTTGGCACTCTACGACTCTTAGCATATGGTACTTACACATCTGAATTTCAAAGATAACTTACTAGTGTGCTTCAGTGCATACTCCGTCTCAGTCGCCGTGTATGTGTTGTTTAGAGTGACGCATATCGCACCAACCCTCACACAAGCAAAGAAGAGCGCGATATACCTCTCGCAATTCCCACTCATGATCCCAACGCGATCTCGTGGTCGTACTCTATATTTCAAAAGTGCTCGCGCAAGCAGGCTGGATTCGTCCCATAGTTTTTGGTACGTCCATCGTGCACTCGTCCACGGTATTATGACAGCCTCGTTTGTTGGATATAATTCGACTTGTTGGTATAGTAGTTGCGAAAGTGTTAATCGCAGCAGAGGCGGATCGAGTGGTCCTGAAACAATGGAAAGGTTGGGGTAAGGGGGGAGAATGTATGGGTCGATTTGTAGTAGCGTTTGGTTCAGACGTTGTAGAACATCTCGTCCTGACCGATGAAGTATTTGTGCCATCGATTACGGCCCTCGATTATTGTTAATGTCTACGCTCAAGCAACAACAATGGTCGTCTAAACAGACTTGTATTATCCGTGGTGAAGAGTACGAAATAGTGACTCAAGTGGTGAAAAGCAACGAGCGAGAACAACAAGGACGCTACAGTTTACAACAGCACCCAAAGATGATCGAACAACTGATGGCGCGAAGGATTGATCTTCGCTAGTCGGTATACACATATCCTATCCCCTGATGTTGCCTAATGTACTGCATATATCCCACTTCGGCTCTACTCGTCTCAGATCAGAGACACCTCTGTAGCATTCCTACGTAGCTAGCAAACAACTATCACTAAATAAATGCATTAATAGTTACGTTATTTTCTCTTAGCATTAGTGCGAAGCTCTACTAATAGGTACTAAAAAAATCTAATAATATGCGATTTTCTAAGCCAGACGCTTACTGTTGGTAGGCCTTGTACGGTCGTACGGGTGAATAACAATAACGAGGTTCTTCTGGTGACTAGTATTGATATTATAATCTATGAACGGGGTTACTACGAAGGTATACCTGAGCTCGGCGCAAGTCGGACCGAAGTAGGATCGAGGCGGGTAGCTTGTTCAGCGTTGGGTGATAGGGTATGTGTATACCGACACTTACCTAGCCGCTAACAGCTGGCACGTTATACACGAGAGTATACTAATGTCTATCCTTGCGTAGCGGGACACCCTATGTGCCGGGACCTGCTAATCAGCTCGCTTAAATTACAAACTTCTGCCCAAAATCTGCAAGTTGATAAGCTAGTCCCGGCACACAGGGTGTCCCACTACGCACGGATAGACGTTACATTGAATTTTAATAATATAAGCCGCGTGTCAGATCACAGACATCGTCACGCGATCAGGCGCACTAATCGCAGTGTCTGAGCAAGTACCACAGTCCGCAACAATCAATTAAGTGGGTCCTAGAAGGTTCAGATTGGATTGATTGATTACCGCTTTAAGCCTAGTAGTTACCTATAGGAGTTTAAGCCCTACCTAGATAGGTAAGTGGGTCTAGGAGAGTGACCGGATTGAATTGATTGTTGCGGAGTCTAGCAAGTACTCAGACCAAACCCCCTAAGTTTGGCTGTACATTACGCCGAGTAGCTTTGTCTATATTATACGTTCCTTAGCCTATTACTAAATCTAGCTACTAATAGCTGACACATTATACACAAGAGTATGACGTTACTGTCGGATCGTGAGTATCGGTAGAGACGTCGGCTGCTTGACACTTCGGCCCGACTTCGGCCCACCTTGCGCAGAGCTTAGGTGTACCTTCGTAGCAGCTATGTTCGTAGAAGATCAATACCAATACCAGTCACCAGAAGAACCTCGTTGTTGTTATTCACCCGTACGATCGTACAAGGCCTACCAACACTGATCAGTGATTGCATGGCAGTCACAGACAGTTAGGTTAGAAGAGACAGATCCTATAACCCCGCGCGTTCCCTAGATCGCCTATATCAGCGGCGGAGTTATCTGTGCTAAGTTCACTGTTAGCTGTATCAGGCGTCTCATCCGGCTTGAGACCGACCGTTCCAGCCGTATCAGAGCGTTCCCAGACGCAGTCTATACACGCACCGACCCCTATCTGGTCGCCGCTTGACCCGTGTACAACCCACGACTACCGACGTATCCCTGGCGAACGCAGCCAGCAAGGCACACGTCAACAATCTACGACAACCGACGTATCCCTGGCGAACATAGCCAGCACGACACGCGTCAACAACAGATGGCGAGCGAAACGGCAAGCAGTAATGGAGGCTGTACACTCACACGAGAGGAGTTGCTAGGGACCACAAACCTAAAGGCAAGAGAGTGGCGTCACATTGACCCAAAGATCTGGGACGATGAGATCGAAGCCCCAGACGACGAGGTAGACGAAACTGCAGCAACAACGTACATTGCGCGTGCGATCGCAGACTACACAGACCGGCCGACAGCAGACGCAGAGCTCTTTGGTGAGTTCTGTCAGGACTTTGAAGGCTGGACTGAAGCTATGTTTATGCGCGCGCATGCAACGTATACTAAGGAACTAAAGCGGATCCTCCGCTTTAAGGGTGTGTACACTGGCCGTGTTAACATGCCACCAAGCGAAGCTGTAGCTAAGCTGCTGCGCAAGGAGGATTGTCCGAAGTGGCCGGACGATCAGTTCCAATCTACTGCCTTCGACGAGCGGTCAGCGGCGTATATGCTGCAACAGCGGAGGCTACTAGGACGACAAACTACGGGATCGGTACAACCTACAAACGTAGGGACAGCGAGTCGAGCGCAGAGCCAAACCTCTGCAAGGGCAAGAGACCAAGACGCAGAGGATCAACAAACCGATGTCCAAGACGAGAACCGCACCCGTACCCAGGTCAGCCAACAACTAGCAGATCCGCTTGTAGAGACAATTGAACGGACACCACAGGCAGACGGGCGACACCAGGCGGACCAGCGACAGCAAAGTCATCAACCTCGCTTAACGTACAACAACTTTGACAGATTCCGCGAATACACGCCAGCATACCCACAACGCCCAAAGGGACCGAGCGTCCCTCCAATTATACCTTCAGGGGATACAGACCCATACAAGGCAGTTCCCCCAATCGAGTTTAATAATGGGAAACTAGATCCAAAGACAATCAATGTCTTTACAAAGATGTGGGATCGTGAGAAGAAATACACAGGGAAGCCGTACGACCTCCTAGACGACAAATTGAAGATCTTCTACAGCATCTGCTATCACGCAGACATCCAGCCAGACCAATTCCATGCAGTCTTTCCACGGATCCTGGAAGGCCGTGCGCAAGACTACTACCTCCACTTCGTTGATCAGCGGACAGATACATTCTTGACTGTATACACGAAGCTCAAGAACCACTTCGACACGGACGTCAACCACAGTCACTACTATGCAGACTGGACGACGACATCCTTTGCTAAAGTCCATAGGGAGAATCCTGACAAGACACTCCATGAGGTCCTTGACATTATGCTAGATAAACTCCAGTTATGCCAGAGGGCGCTTGGGCAGCAGTATATGGGAGAATATGCGCTCCGGACCACAGTAATCACAGCATGTCGAGGCGTTAAAGAGTTCGCAATGGCGCTCTACAGGCCGTCTCTAGAATGTGAGGTCCTATTTGGAGATCTACGATCTTCGATTGAAAACTCACTCGCTATGACTACCTCTGTCAACTTCACAGAGGTAGACCAAGATAACCAGTACTACTTAGACCGCCGGTACAACAGCAATGGAAGAAACCGAGGTGGGTCCCGAGGCGGAACTAGAGGCGCATTTCAAAAAGGCGAACAAAGCTTTGACAGTAGCCGTGGATTTAAGCCACGCTGGAAGAAGAAGTGCTTTGTCTGCCAGAAGGAAGGATGCTGGTCCACAAACCACACAGACGAAGAGCGCAAGACTGCCCGTGCGCAGTTCTTCTCTATGCTGTATTTTACAGGTGCGCCACCACCCAAGGACTTCTCAGTACACCTTGCAGAGTACGAAGGAATTGAGCACACCAGCCAGTATAACCAGAGAGGCTGGAAAGAGGAGGAAGACTGCGAGGATGACGACAATGACGACGGCACTGGCGACCAACAATACTTTGAGCAGCAGTTCTTCAAGGAGCAATGCCTTGCAGACCAGGCGTTCTTGCATCACATTTCTGGCGACGACATATACAGTCGAGGCGCGCCGTCAGCACCAGCGTCGCAGTTTCTGCTCGAGGACCGCTATACACGATCTCTGTACCAAGGTATCCTCCCGGATACAGGCGCTGCCAACGTATCTACAGTTGGCAAAGAGCAGTACCTTGCACTCACACGAGAAGATCCAACAGTCAAGATAGACACATCTACAGCTGGGAAAGCATCTATCAAATTCGGAAAAGGCGAGGCTACAGCGTCTATTGGAACAGTGCAGGTCTCTACAGAGATTGGGAAGATCAACTTCGAAGTGCTCGAGGCGCCTACACCGTTCTTGCTGTGCCTTGCAGATATGGACCGCTTAAAAGTCTACTTCAATAACACTACAGATGAGCTTGTTCAGGACAAGATACGCATCCCTGTTCTACGCAAATGGGGACACCCATGGTTCCATCTCAACAAGAGAGAGAGAGCAACGGTGTTTCTCACTGAGACAGAGCTGAGACGGCTCCATCGCCGGTTTGGACACCCAGCTGTCACGCGACTAGTTAAACTCTTAAAGGACGCTGGCCATAACGACTTTGAAGAGAGAACCCTAGAGGAGGTCACTAAATTCTGCCACCACTGCCAGCTCCACAGCTCCGCGCCGCGCCGATTCAAATTCACTCTGAAGGATGATCACCACTTCAACTATGAGATCCTGGTGGATGTGATGTATCTCAGCGGCAAGCCAGTATTACATGTGGTTGATTCTTCAACTGCTTTCCAAGGCGCAAAATTCCTCAGCGCTATCTCAGCTAAGGAGACATGGCAGGCACTGCGGATGCTATGGATCGACACGTATCAAGGACCACCAGACATCATCACACATGATGCAGGCACCAACTTTGCAAGCGCAGAGTTCCGTGCTGAGGCAAAGATCATGGGAGTTACATGCAAGCAGGTGCCTACAGAGGCTCACTGGTCGGTGGGCAAGACTGAGAGATACCACGCACCACTTCGCCGAGCATGGGATATACTCCATGACGAGCTCCAAGACGATATGTCCGATGAAGCGATCCTTCAAATGGCCGTGAAAGCTGTCAATGACACCGCTGGACCCGATGGTCTAGTCCCGACTCTACTAGTCTTTGGAGCATACCCACGAATGACTACAGAGTCGCCGCCGGCACCTTCAATGGTTAGGCGCAGCGAGGCTATCCAAAAGGCGACGAAAGCCCTGCGCAAGCTTACTGCAGAGCGCCAAGTTGCAGACGCATTGAACGCCCGCAATGGACCAGCCACTGCAGACATGCTAGCACTCCCACTCCAGAGTGAAGTCTTAGTATGGAGAGAGAGTGA